AAAATTATTAATTATTTTGTTAAGACTAATTCCGTTAATTAATAGTAATAAATTAAGTAGATCTTTCATATAATATCCTAGATCTATTATAAAAGAATGAAAGTTTTATGAAATCTCGATATTTATTCACAACATTAGACTGACCATCTATTATAATAATATTAAAATAAATGTGGTATATATATATAACAGAAATGGAATAAAACTTTGAAAATTAAGAACTTAGAAGTGAAGAAGAATAGAATCTGATAAAGTAATAAAGAATGAAATTATTAGATATTGATTGTAATTATAATTGTTGTTTGATAATGATCAAAATCACTTTTTCTATAAATCTTCTATAAAGCAACTTCCTTTTTATTTAAACAATGTCTTTAAATCTATACGGATTGATTTATAAACTCTCCTTTCAGGATTAAAGCTCCTTAAGTTTAGAATATTGCCTATTAGGATATAAGGAGTGAATTGAGGTAATTAGATGCTAAAAAATGATAGGGGATAAATACTACTTTAGGAAATATGGCTATTTTATTGGAGTGGAATCGTTAATTATGCAAGAACATCTTTGTAGTTTTTATCAGAGGAATTAATTTCGTAACCTGTCTTTACATCCCAAAGGCGGATAGAGTTATCTACACTACCAGAAGCTAATGTATTTCCATCAGGAGAGAAACAGACTGACCAGACAGTTCCACTATGACCTTCTAATTTTGCTTTTTATTATTTTTTTTTTACATCCCATAGACTGAGAGACTAATCACCACTACCTGAAGCTAATGTATTTCCATCAGGAGAGAAACAGATTGACAAGACAGTTCTACTATGACCATCTAATTTGGCTTTTTATTATCCTGTTTTGACATCCCATAGACGGATAGATTTATCATTACTACCAGAAGCTAATGTATTTCCATTAGGAGAGAAACAGACTGCGTGGACTTAATATTAATGACCATCTAATTAGGCTTTTTATTATCCTGTTTTGACATTCCAAAGACGGAGAGATTTATCATTACTACCAGAAGCTAATGTATTTCCATCAGGAGAGAAACAGACTGAATTCACACACCCCCTATGAACATTTAATGTATTTAATTCATGATGGATTCTTAAATTCTTCCATTTACAATTCAATAATTCGGCTCCATTTAAATTAATTCTACTTATATTAACATTATTAAATTAGGATCCACTTAAAATGCACCTAAAAAAATTAGCCTCCTATAAAGAAGTATTTTAGATTTTTATGTTTTCAAAATTTTTGTTTCTAAGGTCCACCTTCATTTTAACTAATAAATTTAATGAATTAGACCCACATTATATTAAATTGTCATTTATGGAAGTGAGTTGAACTAAAATTACAGAAATTCAATGATCCCTCTATTATCCTTGATGCTTTTAATTAGAATTAATTTTAATTCTTCATTTTCTTGAGAGGAGAAGTCTTTGGAATTGAACTCATGATCTTTTAATTTTCTTAAAACATCTGCAATTTATTTCATGTCATTTCCAATAAGAGAAAATTTCTTTTCTTTATCAGCTTGGGCGATTTTCTCTCCTTGTTGTAAGATATATGATTCTATTTGCCTTTGATTCACTTTATCTGAAAGATATCCAATATAGTCTTAAACATTTTCCTTTCTTAATTTTTCTAATATGAAACCAAACATTTGCTCATCTACATCTTTTATTTGACCAAAGATGTCAGCTAGAGCTTCCTTATCTAAAAAAGAGCCTTGCATTTTCTTTTTTATTTTCATATTGAATATCCCAAGTAACTATATGCTTTACATCATTAGTTAATGCTCGAAAAATATAATTAGATTAATATTTTATCTATGAGATTATTTTTAATTGGCCTTCATTTGATATTTTGATCAAATAAGCGCAATATTTATGTGTAACAATCATTAAATTCTTTTTGTTTGTCATAAAATACTGGAAATAAATTGAGATCAAATTTTTTATTTTTTTAAATTAGTTACAGTTCCTTTTAGATATTTTCTTGATATTTTTAATTATTTAGTTCAATTGTGC